CCACGTTTTCTGCGTAAAAGGCAACAAAATTGCCCAACAGTGACTTTTCTTTTTATAGCTTTCAGCTCATCTAAGCCCTAAAACTTTTCTTTGAGGTCACAAGGGCCTAAATGATCCCACATGAAAGAAGAAAAAACAAGCCCAGTAAGAGATGTAATGCCCAAGAGCCCTATAACTTGAGGGCAAGCAGGGCTGACTGAGGTTTGTCACCCTTTGTCCCTCCCTCTAGGACTGGTGAGGGCTGGGTGGGGTGCAGGACAAGGCCCTGCTGCTAGGCTCCACCTTGTTGGCCTTAGGGACCAGGGCTGTCCTGGTAGATCCCCAGAGCACCTGACAGGCCCAGTCCAGGACCCTGTGGAAGAGCAGGGTACTGTGGCACAGGAGCTTCAGGGAATGCGCTGGGAGGTTCTAGGTCTGTAGCCATGCTATGGTCCCCTAGACCCACTTAAAGAACAAGGCAGCCATTTCAGGCTGGGAAGGAGAAGGAGATGATGAAGGGGAATGGTTCATCACCACACTGTCATCAAGAGGAGAAAGTAACTAAAGCTGACTCCCTGCCCTTCCAGGCATGTGGGAGGAGCCCTAAGCTTCAGAAATGGCCTTCTCAGGAATTATATCACAAGAGGCAAAGCTCTCGCAGCAGTCCCCTGCTGCAGCCAGGGATGCCAGAGAAGAGGCTCTGAGAGAGTCTGCAGCTCTGTCTTCAAGAAGAAAACACAAAACTGTCCCTCTGGAGCCTGCCACTGGAAGGAGGGCAGGTGCCACCCACAAACCCTCTCCTGCCCACTCCTGGCCTCATGGGGAGGGTTCCAGGCCATCTCCTGCAGTGCAGACCAGCCACCCCAACGCAGCCACGTGCTCTGGCCAAGCCGAGGGCAGCAGGGGTGGGCCTGTCTGCAGCCAGGACTCAGGCTTCCTTCTGTGGAGCTAAAGGGTAGCACACAACGTCACCCCGAAACACACCACTGTGTTGAGGCAAAGGAAACTAAATAAAGCAGGTACAAGAAAAGCTCTCTGCCTGCCCCAATCTGCCCAAAAGTAGGAAATAAATTTACAAAGGTGTCCTTCCTCTCTCCCCCACCAAGGAGGACAAAGGTGGCCCACAGAGGACAACATCAGACTCTTAGACCTTAGCAGCCCAGGGACAGCAACAGAGGAATCAATCTATACAGGTGGCCTCACCATCTGGCCTTTGTCCATGAGGCTGCCACACAGAAACACTTGATTTCCTCTTGTTTATCTATCTTTTGTTACAGGGGTCCTGGTCAAGGACACAGAAAAGAAGAGGGACAAGTATTTTTCCTTTCCTTACACTAGGAAACCGAGTCAAGCCAGCGATCCCATGGGGTTCTCATCTCAGCCTGTGACACCCCTGTGACACCTGTGACACCCCTCCACCGTGTTCAGGTGACCTCATAGGAACACCCTACCTCTCAGCAACCTGTTCAGCCGTAGTCCTTGTCGAGTTCCCTGACTTGCCACTTGGAGGTGGCTGGTATTAAAGGGGTCCTGGCCTCTGAGGCCGAAAGCCTCAGACAGAGGTGTGTGGGCTGCCTGGGGTCCCTTTTTTGAACAAGCCCCGGAGCCTTCTCTGAAGAGCAGTTATCAGGAAGACACCACTGCTCACCTTGGGAAGGACCCTGCTTCCCCTTCTTAACTAGATTCTTCTGCTGGGGAGCTGAGACCCGGGTACCCCGGCTGAAGGGGACTTTCTGGTGCCTGGAGTGAGGGCCAGGCGTGACTGGCAGACACTGTCCGGACCTCCTCCTGTGATTGGCCTTCTCTGCAGAGACCATGCCTGCTTCTACTCCAGTCTCCAGAAGGTCCCCAGCCATTGAGCATCAATGGACAACCTTCTCTGGACACTACTGTGGGCACAGTGGACAGTCTTCCCTGGCAGGGAACTGCCAAGGAGATGACTCCTCCTCGCCTGGTCTGGTGGAAAAGCCTAAGCTGCACCCAGGGAGGAGCCAGGAGCCAGAACTTGGAAAACATCTCTCCCATTGTATCTGGGGCCAGGGCGGGCAGTAGGGCAGAGAACCCGCTCCTGGGCCAAAGTTTATATTCTCAGAAATGCCTGAAGCTTGGCTCCTGAAAGCAAAGCTTCCGCTCCCAGTGGGCTTTCCTCAGCATCCGGGTGTTTGCCACTCCACCCCATGGACTATAGGGTCAAACCTGGTATCCACGCAGCATGGCAGGAATCTCTCACCCTCTTCTTTCCAGATCCCAGGGAGCAGGACTCACCCATGACCTCAAAGGGCTAGTGAGAGGGGAGCTCTTCCAGCCCAGGGTTTTGAGTGGCCAGGCTCCCAGGGGAGAAGGGGTTCTCTTTCCCCTTAAACCTATCAGAGGTCAATGTCCTCAAAAAGCCTCAGTGGTATGGGAAAGCCAAGATGTCCTACCTGGGACACTGCCTTGGCAAAGATTCCATGAGGGGATACCCATTCTCCACTATGTGCCTCTCCCTGGATAATTCTCCAAGGATGGACCAACCTTCAGTTTCATGAAGGACTGACAACTGATGTGTCTCTCTTCTTCTCTACTGACTATTTTACGATGACTGCCTTACGTAAATGTCAGGCTGACTTAGATTGACCGTTTATCATGTTGGAAAAGACTGCAAGGCCCCATGCTCAGTGGGGAAAAAGTACTGTCTTACTGGGAAAAAGTGCTGTGATTGACTAGCCGTGTCTGTCACTGGGGAGGGAAGGGAGGATAGTGGCCTGTATGCTGTGTGTCTTCTTTGAGACTTGCACTGGAGACTTTCATGTGCACACCTCATTGGATTAGAACAACACGGCATGGTCTAGGAACAATGAAGATTATTATCTACTTACATCAGGAGGATGAAAATTAAGACTTTCCCCAAGTGGCCCAAGTGAATCAGAGCCAGAGTCAGGATTGGATCCCAGATGTCCTGAGTGCCAAGGACATCAGTCCCCCAATATGGGGAAGGCACTGAGACTGGGGAACACTCTGAGATCAACATGCCAAAGTGTTCCCATGTCTTTAGGCAAATATGCTTGGTAAATCTTCTCCAGGCTTGCAATTTGCTATTCTTTATGCATATGTGTGGGAAGCTGGCAGGAACAGAGTGTGTGTGGAAAGGGGATGGGCTGCCCACACAGAAGTCGACTGCCCCTCTGGTTGCTGGGAACTTTAAAAGGGGGCAGGTCTAGCTCTCTAACTTGCTCCAATTTCATCAAATCAGCGACGCACCCCAGGAAGAGAAAAAGGACCATTTTCGTCACATCTGCAGGGAGCCACTCTGGACAGCTATTCGGTTTCCATGGAAACCGACCCTTGGAAACTGCTTCAATTTCAGGAAAATAGCTACAAACAATAATAAGCATAAATGAAAAATGGTACACCGTTACTTCAAAATTGTACTTGTTATTGGATTTTGTCGGGTCTTAGGGGCTGTGACTGCAGGCTCAGATCCACAAACGCAGTGGAAGGCAGATGTCTCTGCCTGGCTGCAGGCCTAATGCTTGCCCACATCCTCCCTCCTGACTCTCTAATCAGATTTCTGGATGTGACCTCCGGTGAGGCATTTATCAGAGACGCTAATGTCTGAATTTTGAAAGGAAGGAGGATGCGCTTTGCAAAAAAAAAAGTAAATAAATAAATAAAAATAAACAGAACAAACATTTGCTGATGACTGGAGGGTGACAGGAATCCATTTGAAAGAGCACAATGAGGAGTGATTTGGTGGCACAGGGCTGAACACTCACACAGGCTAAGCTAGAAATCTTCGAGACATCAGGCAGCAGGAATACGAGCTGAGCTGAGCTGGGAATATCTGTTCTATTCCATTTTTAAGGACTCTAGGGGTCAGAAAGGACCTTGTAAAGATGGCTCGGTCTGGCCACTGCTCCCCCAAGCCCCAGTAAGGTTTCTGTTCTCTCAGCAACATCCTCATGAGATGATTCTGGAGTATGCGCCCAGACTACTCTAAGTGATAACTTGCAATCCAATTCCTTGCAGCTTGGACTCATGGGCCAGCCAGACCCATTCTGGCAATGAGAACCCTTCAGCCATCTGGAGCCTTTCTCCTGATCCTTCTGTGATCTTCACGTGGCAGATGTCAGGGATATCCTAATGCCCATTCTCGGAGTGCTCTCACAGGGGGACATCTAAGAGCCCCACGGGGAAAGACTGTTGCTAACCGTGGTTCCTCAAATAATCCTTCACAGACACCAGGGCATCTGCAGGCTCATTCACTTTCAGAACGCTATATTTGTCCTGAAAACTGCTCTCTGGAAGGAGCTAAGGAAGGCAGGGGAAAAATGGCCACCTCCAGGACCTACTGTATCATCTGTCAGAGCAGCTACTCAATAAATGTTTCCTGGATGAGAAGCCCCACTGGATGAATGAGTAAAATCACTGTTCACAGAAGGCGGTTCACTTGCCCATCGTCACCCAAGAGGGAGACCAAGAGCACCTGGGTTCTGCTTCCCAGTCTTCAAACCTTCCCACCGGGAGGCCCAGGTACCTGGGCACCTGAGTCCCAAGTCTGTGCCCTGGGAAGGGGGATGCTGAACCCTCTTACTACCTCAGGCCATTCTAAATGTGTGTTTCCATCAGGCCCAACATAACAGCCCACCCCAGGGAGCCCACTGCATCCCACCCAGGAGACACAGAGACGTGGAGAAGGAAGCCCAATGGCTAGGGAAGGTCTGGAGTCCCGCAGAGGGAAGAACATTCTGGGAACTGCCTAGAGTCTGAACTGGCCTCCAGGACAAGGACCAAATCAACAACAACAAAAGCTCTTTGGGGTTAGATCACCTGATGGCAAAAAGGAAGTCACCAAAAAATATCAACCAGCCCTTCTAGGTTTTTTTCATGAATGCAGACCCTGACGGGAGCAGAGCCCCTCCCCCAGATGCCAGGGACCAGCAGTAGTGAGGTGCTGGCACACAGTGGGGGGGTTAGGAGGGACAGTGGGGAGAAAGCCTGAGGCCTCTGGAGGGAGGTGGCAGGAGGGGGTGCTGGCTCACCAGGCTGTGCATGATGTCCACGCCATCGGGGTTCACCGTGAGCGCCTCTTGGTACAGCTGCTTGGCCTCCTCCAGGTCGCCCTTTGCCTCGGCCAGGCGACCCCGCATGTAGAGCACCGAGTGCGAGGTGGGAAAGAGGCCAGCTGCCTCCTGGATGCAAAAACCTGCTTCCTTGAGGTGTCTCTGCTCCATGAACAGCTCGGCTGTGAAACCAGAGGGGCCGTGAGAGGTGTGAGTGGTGGGAAGACACACAAGATGCAGGTGGCACCCACATCCCCAGAGCAGGGGAGCCGGACACTGCCCACCAAGTCACAGCACGGGGAGAACTTACTGTGGGATGCAGGGGTAACGCTAGGTGCTCCACAGATCATCTCAGTCAATGCTCACAAAACCCCGGGGACCAGTGCTTCGTCACCCCACTTTAGAGATGAGGAACCTGGGCACAGAGAGGTTAAGGCATTGCCCAAGGCCATGGGACGAAGCCAGGCTTTTGGTTGGGTTGTGTGATTGCTCAGCTGGCAATGGGAACACAAATGGAGTCCCCTGAGTGCTTGCCTGGGTAGCTCTGCTTTCTGTTTCAGGGTCCCTTCACTTCACGGATGCATTGTGCAGCTGGACAGACAGGACGGAAGCAGCTCCTGGAGGCCGCACCTGGGGGCTGGCTGAAGTTAACTGCCCCACTGTGCTCAGGACTTGGTGGGCCCGGGCTCAGAGCCCAAGGGGGAGCCAAAGAGTCCCACTAAGGATGGGGGTGGAAGAAAGAGGGAGAAGTGGTGGTGACAACAGTGACAAAAGCCACCACCTGCACTTCTGGGAGCTGACTGTGGGCCAAGCCGCATCTCCACAAAACATTCTTTCTCCATAATTCTCACAGCCAGTCTTGGAGGGAGGTGGGTACCATCAGGATCTCCATCATGATCCTGCCCCACTCTATGTGAAAGGGCAGAGCTAGGGCCAGCCTCCCCAGCAGCCCCTGGGCCTCCCTCTAGAGAAGACTTTGGCAGCAGGCAGGACCAGATCTGCCCCAGAAGCAGATCAGTGGGAAAAGGGGCCACTGCTCCAATCCTGGGCCTGCCACAGAAATGCGCATTTCAGTCCCACGCAGCAGAGGCCCAGGCCCACGCCCACCGCGGGTACTTTTAGAAACGTTGCCTGTCGGCGGGCCCCACAGCCCACTCTGCCTTCCTTTCAAAGCAGCCCCCAGACTCCGCTGCCCCCTCCTAGGGCTGGTGCCCATGCGGAAGTCACAGAAGGATGGCAACACAGATGGGGAGCGCGGGAGGCCAGCAGAGTCTGGCTTGTGACTCTGCCAAGAGCTTTTCCTAGCAAGGGCTGGGAGCTGAGGTTACGCCGGTTTAGAACATGTCTGGGGTGGGGGACTCCCAGAAAGAGGTTGATAAACTGGGATCAGGCTCCCCACCTGCCTGACCCCATAAGCAGCAGGAAGGAGACCTAACTAAGGCCTTAACTGCAACACGCGGCACTGGGGTCCTCAGCATGAACATTGTGTAAGGCTCATTGTGCAATCCAAGCAGCTGCACATGCGAAATGTTACAGAGGGCTCTGGAGTAAGGGGACTCTTTCTGGATTAGAGAAGAGAGAACTGGGAGAATGAGAGAAGTAAACACAAAGAAGCCAGGTTCTCATGATAGAGTAAAAGGGAGAGATGCAGGCTCCTGTCCCCAGAGACGTCTGAGATTCCCAAGGCATAGCATAGGAAGGTGAGGCTGGGAGACGGGGCTTTGTGCCCAGGGCCTTGCAGAGAGGGATGCCCAGTGGTTGGGGATTTGACTCTTGGTGTCAGCTTTCCTTCTCCACTCTGCTATTGAGCCACTGCCAGGGCCTCTGAACCGGTTGCCTTTATAACTGAGTTTCTAATATACAACTATTGAGCACTGACTGTATACCCAGTCTTCCCATGAGAAGGAGAAAAAACAGGGGTGGGGTGGGGAAGCTGAGCCACTTAAGAACTCGAGAGACCCAGGGCAGTGAAGTGATAAGTGCCAATTCTGGGTATCATAGACACTCAGGATGGATCAAGTCAGCACTGTGGTCAGGAAGGTCCTTCTGGAGGAAGTAATATTTAAGTTGGGGCCTGAAGCTCAGTTTAGCTGGGGGCCCAGGGGTCTGGCCTTCCATGCCCAGCCCGTTCCTCAGCAGTCCCACTCCAGGTTGGGCCCACTTGGCCCCAGCGTGACTCATTAAGCTGTTTACAACTTGAGGTCCTGTCTCCCAAGCCCTCAGGAGGCTGTCCCCGGTCCCTCCCTTGGGAACTCTTCTTAGTGCGTTCATATCAACAGATTTCACTTAGAGGGAGTGCTGGGGCCCTGGGGCTTTCTAGGCCTCAGGCCTGGTTGTGGGCCACACATCAGGGAACATGCCCTGAAAATGGGTCGGGCTGCTTCACTCCAATGGGCTTCATCACCACTTAGGCAGGAAAGCAGATGACACAGAACAGGGCCGGGGAGGCGAAGTCTCCCGAGGGCTTCAGGCCACACTGCAGACAGCCTCATGGGCCAGGCCTCCAGGACAGGGCTTCTGACCGGCAGGCGGGCCCACAGGTCTGGGGGCTGCAGTGCCCCCCTCTTCCTAGCCTCAGTGTCCCTAGGCAGATGCCCCTGGCTCCTGCTCACTGTTTTACCAAACATGGTGCTCCCAGCCAGCCGGCCAGCCAGCCAGCCAGAAGAGGCTACAGCAGGAGACCCATGGCACTGTGCCCACCACAGCCTGGCTCCTCCCACTCCCAGCCTGGCTTCCAGGCCTGCGGTGCCCACACCCATCCTGGCCTCCCCTGGCTGGGGCTGGATGAGCACTCACTGTTACGGCTTTTCCTTGTTGATGTGTCACCCCAGTGAGCAGGGCCTTGCTGCTCTCTGAGTGTCAAAGGGCGCCCTGGACCTCCTCAACGACTTGACTTTCTTCCTTCCTGTCCCTTCCGTCTCATCATCCTCCCTGTCTACCTCTTGACCTCCTCTCTTGCCCATCTGTCTCTGGTTGGTTTTTTTCCTCTTTGCTCCCTCTCTCCCCACCCCCTCTTCTTTGCTTTCTCTCCACAGGCTACAAATGGAAAACATCTGTTCCCTGGAGCTTTGCAAGAGTCCCTTTTATTATTTTTTTCAGAGGCATCCTGGTCTAACCCTGCACCTAGAGCTGGCTCCCATCTTCCTGCTGAAGCCCAGGCTCTCTGCCGCAGGCCCATTTCCACACCCTCAGGTTGATGTGCTGAGAAGCGGGGTGCTGAGAGCCCTCACCTGGAGAGGTGAGCTGAGCTTCCTATAGAGAACCTGCCCCAAGACCTCAGAAAAGGGAGAGAGAAAAAAGAGAAAGAAAAGGAGGACACCATGTTAGCTTGGAGGTGGGAAAGAAAACAGATTAGACCCTAAAAGGAACCCACCTTGGCTAGCCTACCCCCCGGCCATGGGGACAGTTTGGTGACCCCAAAGGAAATAAGCATCATTCCCCATGGAGCAGAGTCCCTTGCAGTTGGGCTAGACAAATCATGGAGTTTAGGCCAATGGATCATGAGGAACAGTGATGTGTACCAGTTCCAGGTGTGTCCTTACGGGGACAGGGTGTCTTCTTTCTCTCTTCCACATTTATCTTATGCCTTGGAATGTCAATTGTAGCAGAGAACCATCCTGGACCACATAGGTGAGAGCCACACCCTAGGGACAGCAAAGCTGCCATCCCAGTTGAAGCTGTCATCTCCGAATTGTTACGTGAGAAAGAAATAAGAAATAAGCATCTAGCTTTTGTGAGAGCGATACGGTGCTCCATGTCTCAGAATAGGACAGGAGGATCTTTGCTCAGGAGGAGGCCTTGGTATTATTCCTCTGCATTCTTGAACATTCCTCTTCCTACTTAAGACCCAACAGCTGTGGAACACACCTCCCACATCCCTAGCATCCGAAGGACCCTGAGATGCTAACTGGGGCAATATTTGCATTATTAAAATGCTCCCATCTCTTAGCCTTTCTGTGAATCCTGGTCCAATTCTTTTTTCATAGTCAGAACCTATGATAGGGAGATCGGAGGCGTGCTGCATGCTAATGCGTCCATATGTGGAAAACACGCCACAGGAAACCCTAGATTCTCAGCTAACAAGCACGTTCTAAGGATGACTTGCCAAAGCTGCATGTCTTGGTAACTGATCATCTACTTTTTGTTGATTTCTTTTCCATGTCTCCTTGGGGGCTGCAGCCCCATCCCTGTAGTGGGTCAGAGCAGAGAGGAGGGTAGGCAGAACAAGGGTGAGGAGGCGTCCCTGCACCCACAGTGTCCCTCGGGCAGTTCTGGACTGAGGCCATGCTGGGCCCGGGGCAGGTTCAGGATTCCACTCGTCTCTCATCTTCCTCTATTCTTCTGCGCTGCCATTGTATTCTATTCAGTCACTTGTCCTCTCTGGCCTCGATTCCCTGTCTCTTCACTCTAATCCACCTCCTGCACCACGGTCAGGTCAAGTTGTCAAATACTTTCCATGGAGTCCCTCCTCAGCATTCCCAAGCACAAGGAGACTCAGTCTGTGGCACCACGTGGCTTCTGGCTCCGTCACAACTGTAACTGGCACAACAGAAGCCAAACACCATTTGCTGAGCACCTACTATGTGCTGCAGTAACTTCTTCACACATAAGCTCATTTGAGACCAGGGCTGGCTAGGTCTGTGTGACTGAAGCTGGGCCTCCCTGAAGGCTGCCTCCCCAGCACTCACTGGTCTGCAGACTCTTCAGTGGCAATGGTGCTGCCTGGTGACCCAGAGGGACTGCCAACTGGACAGCATTTCCACCTTACCAGCCCTCTGCCTATCCATTTATGTGGCCTCTCCTGACCTCAGAACCTCTCTCATTTGGATCTGCCATAGAGAACCTCTCCCAGGTAGGGAGGCGGGCACCCTTCCTATTGGGCAAAGAGGAAACCCATAGCCAGACAGATTAAGTGACTTGCTTGAGGCAAGCGAGGAGGAAACAGCTGGAACTAGACCAGGTTCCTGAACCTGCGAGCACTCTGTAGTCCATTTGAGCCTCGTCAAGAGCCTCTACCTCCCCGCTCCAGGACAGGGCAGGGCTCTGAACATCTGGGTGGCTTCAGCCAGGTATGGGAGTATCCCTGAGCCCCAGTTCCCAGGCTGGGACTGGGGATACTCACCAGCCTGGAGCCAGATCTGTTCCAGCGTGGTCCACAGCCGCATGGGACCCTGCTTCAGGACCGAGGTGGACATGGTCAGCTCTGACATGGCCTCCTCAAGCCTCGAGGCTGCAATGGATGATGCCCGCCGAGAGCCTGCAGAGAAGGAGGGCACAGGGCTGAGCAGCAGAGTCAGGGTGCCCCGGGCTGCAGGTCCCCGGGGCAGTCAGAGCTCAGCTCCAACGGGCAGACAGGGCACCTGGGTCAGGGCAGGGTGGCACAGCCTGGCAGCCAGAAATCTGACAAGCTCTCAGATCCACTAGGGAGGGCCCACCACCTACTCTCAGCCACATATGGAAAGAGGAGATTTTTAAGGGACAATTAGGCGTAAATCCCATTGGGAATCTATCCCTGAGGAGAACAATCATAAATGTCAGCAAAGATGCTCATTCGACTCCTGCCTGTAATATTGAAAATAACAGAAACTACTCAAATGTTCAATAATAGGGATAATTAAAAACAAGTGAGGGTATAATCACCAAAGCCTGTAGTCATTACAATAACAATGTATACATGTGGATACAGATGCCAAAAGAGGTACATATTAATTACACAGTTAGGTGCAAAAAAAGCAAGGAACAGAAGAAAATAACCATATTTTTGAAAAATAAATATGGGCATACATGGAAAAAATTCTGAAGGGCCATTTATTTATTGAAGTCTGGGTGGTGAAATGAGAAATGACTTTTCTCTTTCTCCTTTGGCTATTTTTACAAGTGCACATTATCATTTCGTATGTGTAAAAGTCCCATTCGTGGCTGAGACCTGAGGGATAATTGGGGAGCAGCTTGAGTCAGACCTGTGCCCTCAGAGAACCTCTCCCGTGTCAGTTCTGGGTGGTGCGGGCCCTGCTCAGGATATATAAGCTGTTGACATTTATAATTCCCATGCAGGTGAAATGCGAGCACTTTCTCCCTCTCAGAGAGGCAATAAAGGCTCCAATAAACTCAGGAGACCTCAGGCACACCACAGATGATGTCAGTTTATGGGACAAGTGTACAAGGAGTCCTAATAACTCTGAGCATGGTTCTTACCTCTTTAATTGCATGGGAGTTGCCCCACCCCCTTAACCAGTCCCTCCACAAGCAGCCAAGCACCCCTGGGATGGGCCCTAAATTCAGGTGCAACGTTAGGCTGCTGAAATCAACCCCATCACTTGCACCTTGGCTCCAGTTCACAGAAGTGAAAAAAAAATGAGCAATTCCACTAAATACAATTCCACTCACACTTTCATTCCCATGACTAACTCTTCTTGTGTTTTTGAGGAAGGTGTTTTGCTTTAATCAGGTCCTCAGCTTAAACATGGTAGGTTTGTAGTTCCCAATTCATTTGAATATCACAAGCCTGGGTTTCAGGATGAGTTTTTCCAGGAAAAGAGTCAGCTTTGAGCGTAGAATTGAAGAGCTCTGCTCATTCCTTTCTGTTTGACTCATCTACCGGGGCATGAGGCAGCCGCTGGCGGCTGGCATTGGCCTTAGGGGAAGTCGTCTCTGCTCCAGGCTGTCTTTCCAACCGAGTCTTCTCTCTCTTTACCTACCTGACCCCTGCCTACTCAGCTGCCCACCACCCACCCAGGGCCAGCAGTCAGTCCTACCCTGAGTCAAGATCAGCCTGAAAGGTGTCTGAGGGCCACCCCTGAGCATCCAGACCATTGGGAAGCAGCAGCAAGGAGCAGCGATGGGTTTGGCCAGGCTGCGCAGATGCCCCCCTCCCTTGGTCCTCTCAGGCTGGGACAGTGAGCTTTGGTTCCACGTGAAGAGCTGCCCACAGGGCACATTCTTACCAGAATCTGCATCGTGGGCATCGGGCAGGGTCAGGTGCATGCCACTCTGCTTCTTTATCGTGTGGCCCTCACCTAAGCTGCCATCCTTTTCCAGGCCTCTGGAAAGCAAGGGAGGGCAGGACCTGGTGAGGCAGAGGCTGGTGTCCCCCAGGGCTAGCTGGGAGCATGGGGCGGCGGTGGGAGGGGGGGGCTCACTTCAGACAGGCTCTGGGACTGAGAACTCATGTCCCAGAAACAGAGCCCAAGTCCCTGGAAAGATAGGGAAGGACCAAGACAACCGGAGACGTAGAGGGTTCAGCGTGGGTCCCACATCACACAGGCCAAGGACTGGAAACCCTCCCACACTGCCTATGCCCTCCTCTGAGGCAGGGGGGGCTAGAAATCCCTAGGTCACTTGAGGCTTTTTCTACCCTACCTCCTTCAGTGCAGGGAACCCGGACTGGCTTCCTAGGAAAGCCTGCCTGGTCTTCACAGGCACCAGGAGTGCCCCGGCCTGCCCTGGGGAAGGAGGGCCCAGTTGATCCTGTGAATCCTGCCATAGGATCCCCTACCTCCAGCTGCCAGGGTGGTCCCAGGAGAGCCAGTGGGGGCCCCTGGGGGGATATAAAGAAGCATGGTGACCCTTTCTTGCCCCCCACTCAATTCCCCAGGTTCCTGCAGCTCCCGTACAGTTTTCTCAGTTGGGGAAGCCAGGAAGGAGCCGCCAGCTCAGAAAGGTATATGAGCCTGGTGGGCCCTTCCCGGGGCATGTGCAGCCCAGCCAGCCCCTTCCCACTGCTGAGGAAGCCTACGACCCTGGAACCTGTGGGCTGGGGACACTTAGAGTAGAGCTGCGGCAGAAAGGGTTGGAGAAAAGCAGCCCAGCCTGGGCCAGAAGGTCAGAAGGTATCTTCCCTTCTAAGGGACGCCCAGACGATGGTCCTGCAAAATGCCAGGATCCAAGGTGTCTCTGCCATCCGAACCGAACTCAGGCTCATGCTGGCCCCAATCTGGGCCTGTGGATGCAATCATCTTATTGGGTATCAGAGGGCCCCACCCCTCATAGCACAGTGAGTGGTTCAGGTCAGGCGGTCTTCTCCCACCCTCTTCCCGTTCCCTGGGGGCATCCAAGTGCAGGCCAGAGACACTAGGTTAAAACCATGGGGCCACCCCTTCTTGGTTGTGTGACCCTCAGCGAAGTTACTTGACCTTTCTCATGAAATTTCTCTCTTGGAAACGAGCATGACGACATCCACTTCACGGGGCTTTTGTGAGGGGAAATCAGACAGTCCCGGCAGGCGCCTTGCATATTTCTGGCTTCCTGTCCAGGTACCTGATCTGCAGGAACAGTTTCCTGTCTCCTGTTTCTTCCATCCCAAGGGGCCTCTCCTAGGGCTGCAGATCGCTCCATATTTGGGAACTACTTGCCGTGTGTATCATGCTCCCTAACTCGAAGAACTCCACACCCAGATTGGGAGAGCCAAACAGGTACTGGATTCAGGCCCCTGGTCCAGGCAGATGGCCTAGGTAAGCCATGCCCTATCCTTGGTGGGGGTCTGGGGGGAGGTTCCCTAGAGGTTTCCTGTTGTGACAAGTTCCATTGTGGGTGGTGACTTGAGGTGACCTCAGGCAAACCCTACTACCCCTGGCCCCTGTGACAGCACTTAGCAATCCTGTATCCCTTTAAGGAAGTACAGGCCTTATATTGAAGGTTGGGCCTTAAATAAGACAAGGATGCCGACCAGAAGTGCCCCAATGAGACTGGCCACCTGAATGAGCAGGGAACCAGTCATCTAGATAAGGACTCAGATAAGGAAAGGGAGCTCCTCTGCAGAAAAGGAGCCATGCTGTGCACCCGCCCCAGCTGCCACAGCGCCAGAGGGAGGAAGCCCTGAATGCCAGGTCCCCGGCACAGGAGACTGGCCCTCATCCTTACATCACCCGGCTTCCAGGTGGCTTCCCAATCCTCTCCTTAAGTCCCTCACTCCACAGTCTCCTTCTGGCAGCTTCTATGCATTGGTCTTGCTCTGCTCTGGCATCTCCTAGGCTACAAGGCCTGTGGAGGGAAGACTGACCCTGCCCGAGGTTTTACACTCCACCTGGTCACCTCTGTAAATGTCACCAGGAGAGGTTCCTCTAGGGAGTTTGGAGGCCTTGTGGGGCCCAGAATTCCTGTGAAAATGCAAATACCCTCCAGAGTAGGGTCCCTTGAGTCCTTAGGGGAATGACACAGGGAACCATTCCAGAGAAGGGGGAGGGTGGGGTCCAGTGGAACAGGAAGAGGCAGTGCACCTGCCCTACAGGAAGTCCTTTGGGCTGCGCAGGCTGGACAGAGGGTTTGAGCAAAGACTTTCACAGATTCAACCAGGTCAAGAGAGCCTTACTGTGGCCCTGGAAAACCTCAGAGCCTAGGCTGGGGCCTACTGCAGGAGTCAGGGTGCATGGAGACTGTTGGTGACTGGGGAGGTGTGGGTGGCTCTCTGGCCTGAGCTTCCTCCTCCTCCTCTTCTTCCAACTACCAAAAAGACCCAGGAAAGAAGTGACAGACTCCATGGGCTGGGACTCAGGAGGCCCAGGTTCAAGTCCCATCCCTACCACTAGCCAGGTGAGTGGCCCATATTACTCAGAGTCTCTGAGTCAGTTTCCTTGCTGGGCTGAGGATAAAATCAAATAATGTGTAGGACAGAAGCAGCTGAGGTGTTGGATGAAGTGGCAAGCCCAGCACCTGGCTCAGGTGTTCAATACTCGTTTCTCTATTTTCTTACCACTCTCAGCTTTGATTTCAAAATCTGGGTCTTTATGCAGGTCACCGAGGACTACCAGGAGGTTAAAGCTGGACCACAGATGTACAAAGTCCCGTGAGTGCTAAGTTCCATACTTTCATCCAGGCACTGCAGACACTCAGCTGAGGACCGTTGTCCTGGCAACCACTGCCTATCAACTGGGCCCTCCACCCTCTGGCAACCCAAGGGATGACGATAGCCACTCACCCCAGCTGGGAGAAGCTGTATAGTGTCTGCCATAGCTGCAGCATTTGTCTGCAGGTCACCAGGGCTTCCTCTGGGCCTTTTAGTACCTGCTCCAGCTTTACCTTGGTGAACATCAGGCTGCAGGGAGAGAGAGAGACAGAGTGGCAGTCAGAGGGCCCACGCAAGGCTTTCCCACAAGAGTGGGACCCCATGGGTTTCTGCCCCATCAGGGCAGCCCCCATCTGCCCACCTCCCAGCCACAAGAGACAGAATGCATGGGAGGGTGGCAGCCTCCACTGTACCCCTGGGCCTCTTTCTTTCTGTGACTGTTTCTCCCCATGTGTGTGGTCAAAGCATGAGACACTCTTCTGCATCTGTCAGTGCCCGTTGTGCTCTTTCTGCCTGTCCCCTGATTACAAGCCATCTTGCCCACGCTCTAAAGTGTTGTTAGGTATGATTCCCAGCCTGGCAGTTTGCTCTGCCTCCCCAGATCCTCAGCTGAGCGGTTCCCGGCATGCCACTGACACATGTTTTAGACTTTTGTGCCCTATGGGGCCCCGGATAGGGCCTTAGATAAGGGAAAGCAGCTATGACTCAGTGAGGCTAAGCAGGAAACTGGTGGAACAAAGGTCACCTTAGGGCACAGTTCTGCCTTCTACCTTGCCAGCACACAACAGCTGCCCAATTAACATCTTCTAAGTGGAACTGGGAACTAAGTGGAACTGATTCCCGACCCTGGATATGCTGGGAAGGTCCTGGGACTCTGCATCACAAAATTCTTCCTTGGATTTCCTAAGATAGCTAGACCCCCTTACGTGGGATTAAAGTGACATGAAACCCCCCCTTTCAACCACTATTTAGGGACAGTTGCTGCATCATGGCAGCAGCTTTCAGACTTTCTCCCTAAAAAGCTGAAGTCCTCTGAGGCAAGATGAGCAAAGGATATAGCCCTTAGAATGGCGAGAGGGCAGGAGGGGTGGACAGCTTCCCCTCTGCCCTGGGCACAGCAGGGAAAGCAAGAACACTGAACCCAGACCGGTCAGACTCCTTGCTCACCAAGAGCTGGAAGGAGCCCTGGAGGCCCTGCCTTGGCAGGTGTCGGCCTTTCCATTGTCGAGGAGTCTGAGGGTGCTGGAGGCGGTACCCAGACAGGGAGTCCAGCAATACTTCTACCACAGGCAGAGCCAGCAGTACTGATGCATACCCACTGTCTGGGCAGCCTGTGGAGAGTCTGGCTGAGCCACTGAGGCCCAGGCAAGGCTGTCACTCCTGGTTCTCAGAGGTCAGCAGGGAGGCCCCGTTATCCACAGCATGGCCACTGAGTGAAGCACATGACTGTGAGGCTGGAATTTGATCACACCCATGCAGAAGCACAGCCCTACCCCGGTGGTGCATGGAGCGCCTGCGCCCCAGAGCTCCAGGCTGCAGAAGGGGCAGCCCTACCAGGGAAGGCTGGCCTCCCTCTGGGTGCTGGCCCTCCCTCCCACCCCCTCAATTGGGGTCTTGGCCTCCTCTTCCTCTGCAATGAGGCCAGGGCTCCATGGCTCATTCTGAGCCTTTCTTCTCACCCCATCTTAGACTGTGAGTTGTTGATAGAGAAGGAGCGGGGGTGAAATGTTTCCCCATTGTCCTTTTGGAAGAAGAGTTTGGGGTTCTGGCATGTATTATTTTTTTCCTCACTTCTCCGCAAAGATGCTTTTCCTGTCCCTGGACACAGGTCCCCGACATGGCCTCTCCTCTCCATTTTCATCCACCTCCCAAGTCTGACTTTGAAACTTTCCCCAATCTTTGGTACCCTTTTTGAACATTAACTCATGACCAGCCACTGGCCTCTGGGGTCCTGAGGGCAGAACCCGGGGTTTTCATATTGTAGCCTCCCTATGGGCACATCCCCAAAGAACAGCTCTTGGCATCCTGTGGGCAGCTGTTGGGGAGAACTGACCCTGCTGCCCCATTTTTCTTTCCCAGACTTTCAAGGGGCCCCGCTCTAGGTGCCTTTGTTTTGGGAAATATGAAGTAGAAGACACAAATTCTGTCTTCAAGGTAATAATTACAGTGCTAAAAATGTCAAACTGTCCAGAGAACCAGATGCTGTATTTTTGGCTCAGACTCAGCGCAGAAAAAGAAAAGAGAAGGGGTCTTGCTGGAGCTGGTGTTGGATGAAAAGGAGGGTGGGGTGGGATGTGGCTGGAGTCGGGGAGAGAGGTTTGGGGTGAGGAGGAAGAAGGGGAAGGCTGGAGCACACTTCTGTGTCCTACAGGCTGAGGAGGGAAAGCCCCTCCCTGGCTCAGGCCCAGGCCCAGACCACACCTCCCCTTGGGCAGCCACAGCAACTTCCCTGGGCAGGTGACTTCAACAGGACCTGGGCTAGGCTGGGGCAGTTCCTGGGCAGACAGGCCATGCAGCATTCCCGCACTCTCCGCCACCCACACATCTCCCTTCCAGAGCCCTCTTCCCACGCCTGCTCCTGCACCCGAGGGAAGGATGGGTCCCTGGCAGACCTGTCTGCACCACGTGCCTGGCACAGAAGGGGTGGAAAGCTGAGCTGTCAGCGCGGCAGCTTCTATCAACACAGGCTGCACCCCCAATCGCCGCTGACATTCCATTAGCATGAGTGACCCCGAGTGGAATTTCTCAACCCAACCACATCCTCTCCGGGCCAGGCACGGGCTCCAACAGCCACCCTCTCGTCTGCTTTTCACTCCCGCATACTGAGGCTCCAGATTAGCTCCAAAGAGACTTCCTTGGTCTGGTAGCTGAGCTGCCAAAGGGACCTACTTCACTAAGCCCTGCCACTGTCTGTGCCACCAGCCTAAGCTTCTCTGAGGGTACATCGAGGCCTTCCAGCTTGGCTCCACCTTCCATTCCCTTTGGCCCCTCCTCCTACAATGACCTTGGACTCCTCATATGGGAGTCAGCAGCTCCCTGAGCCTCGGCACAGGCTCTGGGACTTGTGTGTGCTATGCTCCACGTCGTGGCCTCTGCTGGGAGTCACCCTTCCCCCTCAGACATCCGGCCAGCTCCTATCCAGATGGTACCCTCTGACTTTCTTTGTGTATCCCCTTGGGGGCTGTAGACCCCGCCTCCAGGACAGCCTTCACTATGGGTGTGGCTTGGATGTGTGCACACCTGCTGGCTTGCTTCCAATTCACTGCTGAGCTCTTGTCCCGTAGGGGACAGGGACCAGCAATCCATTCCACTCTGGCTCTAAGACAACCAAACCCAGCCTTGGGACACAAGTTCCCTTCCCCTCCCATCCATTGGGATGGGTGGCTGCCATCCACGTACATATTCTGGGCCCAGTTTTCCAGAGAGCACCCTGGAGTGCCATGATGTTTGGTAGGTGACACTTTTGGGTGTCACCCAATAAACAGTTAAGAGTCACCCACCAGGCAGTTAGAGCTATGGCCATAGTCTTATTAGAACACGGGGCTTCCCAGGTGACAGAGGCAGAGTGGGCAAGTCAGGCTCTCCACCCTCTTCAAGCAGCAGCTCCTCCTTATCTGTCTTAATACAGAAGGAGTCTAAGACAACCCTGAACAAGGGACTCTGAGATTTAAAAACCAAAACCAAAACCCTATTTTAATCCCAGTCCTCTTAGAAGGCCTCAAATGACCACCTTCCCTTTCTCTAAGAGCCTGGGGACTGCATTCAGTTAGCACTTAATTTTTCTCTCTCATTGTCTTCCAGGCATGCCCACCTGGAGGGTGCGTACCTGTGGGACAGGGATCTGTGGTGCTTTGCAGTGCCCAGCCCCTGTGCTGAGCACCCAGTGTCTGCCTAGAGCTGGAGTCTGATCACTTGACTCCTCACGTTTTAGTGTGGGCTGGACTCACACAGCTGACGCAGAGCACCACCAATTTCAATCCAAACAGTCCACAAGCCAAGTTTCACTACACACAAGACAGGGCCTATGATGAATAGCACGCTCCCGAGATGGTGTGCAGGGATCTGTCTCCTCCTACTTGGAAGAGAGATCTTTATCCCAAGAGACAGTCATAGAGTGAGGCTAAAAGTATAACTAAGGAGGGTCTCTAAGATGGGAATTCTGAATCTAGCGACCCTCCAATATACGGGCACTCAGACAAGAGCCATTCCAGGAGAAATTTTAGAAGCATAGTCTACAACAGAGAAGTCAAAAGCCTCCAAGCAGCCCACAGTAACAGCTCCAAAGTTACATTATTGTCCTCAAACCCTGCACTGCAATGTCACTCAGAGTGAAGAGACACTGGCTGAGGAGTCAGAAACCCATGCCAAAGTCCTGGCTCTGCGGCCACCCAGATGGGCAGGTCACACGTTCCACATCTGTAAAACAGGAGTGAAGGCAGCTGACTATAGGCCCCCATGAGGCTGAACCTTGGTCACCTATGAGCAGCAGCGGAGAAACCCCACAGCAGCCCTCAACTCTCCAACATGGGCCTGCCCGATGCTTGGGAAGGGATGCCCGCTTTGAACTGCAGGCCTCCCACATTGGCAGACCAGGGTTCCAGGCCGGGTGCCTCAGAAAGCTTAAGAAAGCCCCAGAGGACTGGGGTTTTGGCTCAGCGGTAGAGCGCTTGCCTAGCACGTGTGAGGCCCTGGGTTCGATCCTCAGCACCACATAAAAATAAATAAAATAAAATAAAGATATTGTGTCCAACTACAACTAAAACCATGAATATTAAAAAAAAAAAAAAAAAAAAAAAGAAAGAAAGCCCCTGAGCTTCCCACCTGGTCAGTCGGGCAGGAGCTCCTCCCCATGGCTCCAGGACCAAGTCCCGGGCAAAGTGCTTTCGGCTGTGATGCTCTCTTGCAAGCACTTTCCTGTTTATGAAAGTGGAGGAAGACCATGTGGAAGGGACACTGAGGTCTTTTAAGGCTCAGGCCCTTGCCACGCCCTCGGCCTCTGAAGGCTGATGTGAAAGTGAGTGTTCTCTCTGGGGAGGGAAGGAGCCAGGGCCAGTGTAAACACACTGTCCCGTTGCTGGGTCCTGAGTCTCCTCATTCCCGCCACTCCACTCTGTGGCCCTGTCCAAATCTTGTGGCAAGTGCGCCCTGATCCCAGCAGGGAGGCTCAGTGCAGAGAGAAGCCTGCTCACTGTCAAAGAGCTCAGTTCTCCTGAGTGTCTGCCAGAGCCCTCAGCGGCCCACTCCAGATC